GTCCTACAGCTGTATGCAGGAAGCAGGGCAGTGTCCCAGGAGCCTGGTTCAACGGGCACTCAGTGAATGTGCATCGGGTGGAGGGAAGGATGTAGACCCTGGCTTCCCGCCTCTGAGCCTGTGTCCCCGTCTATGAACAGTCCCGGTCGGTGCAGTGAGAGGAAGTGTTCGAATGGCAGAAGCTACCGTGCGCAGTGGAAGGAATGCCCCAAGGAATCTTCATCCTTTGACCTGAAAGAAGTCAGGGTCCCAAGTCCTTGGGGGGGGGCTGGCTGCGGGGACAGTGATAGGGAGGGCAGTTAGTTAGATAGGAGCTGGGGGAAAGGACAGTGATGAGTGGGTTACACCTTAGAAGCCTGGGGGGACAACATCCTGTCCCTGTGGCTTCCAAGACCTTGGGGCTGACGGATCAAGAGCCACAGGTTAGGGCTCGCTCTCCTCTTCCTCCGCCCCAGGGTAACCCCTAGACGCCTTATGATGCATTTGCTCTGTGGTTGCAGCCCCGCCCTCGTGGAGATAGGCTGCAGGATCTGATACTAACCTTTTAGGGTCAAACACTCCCCCTCCCAGCCTGTGAGGGGGCAGCCCCCAAATGATTGGAAACAGCCTCTGTTGCAGACCACCCCACTGGGCATCACTCCTCCCAGCCCAGAAAGACCCACTTGGCATCCAATCCCGAAACAGCCTGGGGGTTGGTTCCTCCTCACTGAACCTGCCTGCTGTCCCCTAGGAGCACTCTTGCTTAAATAAAACTGTTTTCTGAGATTTAGAGGTTGGAGGTACTTTCAATGGAATAGCAACAACCACTGAATTGGGTGTCTTTAAGGGTACCACGTGCCAGAACTACTTCCTGACCCAGGGGGTTTCTGGTCTCTGCTGTTTGCCCAAATTCCTTATACTGTCCTCCGAGAAAGGGGGTTTTGGGGTGTCCTTCAGTAGCTAGGGAGGAGGGCTGGATCTACTACTTTCCACATACAGGAGCTGATGACTCTGTAAGATTTTTTTAGTTTAAAATGAATATGAGAGGGACACCTGGGTGGCTCAATGGTTGAGAGTTTGCCTTTGGCTCAGGTCGTGATTCTGGGGCCTTGTGTTCAAGTCCCGCATCAGGCTTCCCACAGGGAGTCTGCTCCTCCCTCTGCCTTTGTCTCTGCCTTTGTCTCTAGGTCTCTCATGAATAAATAAATAAAAGCTAAAAAATAAAAAATAAATAAAAAATGAAAAAAAAAAAAGAAAACTGTTTTCTGCTTTCACTTTGGGCCCCGATGGTCTCTAATTCTTTCTTGCGTCAGTGCCAAGAGCCACGTCACCAGGCTTTTCGCACTGACCGGCCTTCTGAACTCTAACACGCTGGACAGTGTCAGGGCTGAGACTCAGGAATCGCCTTTCCCTGGCTATCAAATGATGGTGGTTTTCTTACCGTCGTTCTTTTCTTCAAAAGTTAGAAATGCAAGTTACAGCAGTGACTATACCTTCCGATCCAGGAGGCTCATTAAAACTATTTTATTCTGAATGAAAATAAATAAATAAATTTCTTAAATTTCCAAATTGGGCTTAAATCTAAACCGGGAGCTTAACCTCCTTTCTGGGAACCACTTATCCTTTGCAAATGAGGAGAAACCCAGAAATGAGACTTGCCCACAGTCTCATAGGGAGTTGGTGAGACTTGCCCACAGGCAGTAGACTCAGGCCCAGAGAAGACTTGAGACTGGTTCTTAGGGGAGAGATGCCTTGGAGAGACTCTGGTTTCTTGGGATCACATGGGACCATCTGGTCCCCAGAGTAGGCCTTTTACTTTCTTCCTGAGACATGTGTCACCTGTTTGGGGGGCTGCTTCCAGCACAGTTGATTTTGCCGGGATCTTGGCCACTGGAGAGCTGCTGGTATGCTCCAAAGTGGAGGCCTGGGCGCTGCCGTCGTGGGGGGAGGCCCATTCGGAGAGGAGCCCCCTTCCTCCAGCAACCCCTCCTCTGCAGTCCAGCCTGGACCAACCAGCCCCGGGCAGTCTAATCATTGCGGTGCTGGCGCATAACCCCGCTGCTGATTTGCATATCTAAATAGTCATTTAACAGAACATACAGGGAAGATCACTTCTCGGCCACTGGGATATCCAAGAAAGTGCATGGAGTGAGCACTTTTCATCACAAATTCCGGGGACTTCAGGCATTTCAGGCTTTCATTAACTTTATTGATTCTTTTTTCAATAAGGAAAAGAGATGAGAAATTATTTTAAAATGGGGTTGAGAGGCAGAATTTTAAAGATCAAAATTACAAAATAAGGTTCCTCTACACTCCTGGGGCACTTGTCTTCTTTTTTGTTTTGTTTTGTTTTTCCTTTGTCCCTAGTAATAATTGAGGGGTCGGGGGAGTCCCCGTGGGACTGACTGCAGTTGGCAGATCCAGGACAGTGCACACAGCACATGTTAGCCCAACCTCCGCACGAGCCCCGAGCCCGAAACAGCCTCTGATACCGCAGGGTGAAGAGTGAGGCTTTCATCCTTCCTTCATTATCCGGAGAGGTAGCCGGGACTGATGTGGGGAACTCCAAAGGGGGAGTCCCCTCCAAACCATGCACAGGTGCCTTCAGAAGGGGATGTGTTTGTACCGCAGTGGGAGCTGTCCCAGCCTGATGCCCCTCGCCTGACCCCAGACGCAGGAGTCTCACTGCCCATGCGTACCTCTGCTTGGAGCTCTCGTGAGCCTCTCAAACTTGGCACATCTCAAACAGAACTCACGACCTTCAGCTCCCATCCCACATTCCTACCCTCCTCTTTAGGTAGCACCGTGGTGCCAGCTTTCCTCCGAAGACCCAGGGTCCCATGCCAGACACCTGGCTGTCCCCTAGCTCATCCTCCCTGTCACTTCCCCAAATAATTGTGAGTCTTGCTCCCCATCCTAGGAGTTCTCAAGCCTGCCTGCTTTGCAGACTCAGCTGCCCTGGCCCTAAGCCAGGCTTCTAGGTTCTCCCCCCCGCTCTTACCAGGATTGCCATGACCGCCTCCTAACCCTTCTCTCTGTCCTTCTCCCTGTCTCCTGTCCACACTGCAATCAAAGCTCACATCACATTTCAGTGCTTGGTTTAAAACCTTCCACACTGCTCGCTGCCTGCAGAATAGAGTGCGGGTCTCCTAAAGCCTGTCTCCAGGGCTCTCTGTGTTCAGCTGTTCCGGTGCCTGTCCAGCCCCACCCAACTCCTCCTCATGTCAGATTCCAGAAGCACAGCCAGGATGCTTTCAGACTGGCCCCAAGTTCGCTTCTTTGGGCTACTCATTTCCGGGAGCTCACGTCCCTCTCACCTGGCTAATTCCTACCAGAGCTGGGCTCAGCTCAAGTGACACCTCCTCTGGGAAGCCTTGTCCCCACTCCATAAAGAGTGGGTGCTAGCTTGGTAGAACTTATGGGGCTTTATTTTGATGGATTTTCTTTTTCAAGTCATGGTTTTAATCAAGTCCTAAGCCAAGTGGCCCTAACGTTTTATCTGAGTCCTTGTCCACTTGCCACGCTGGTCTTTACACCACTTAAACTCAAGAACCGCATGTTAGTCATTTTTGCTTTTCCGTTGTCTGGGACAGTGCCTGGCACATAGCACGTGTCCTGTTGGTTGACCATAACTGAAAAAGTAAAGTCACTTTGCTGCTCAAAGGGGAATAAGAAGTGAGTCTGGGGTTCTTCCTTCAAGAAAGGCAGCACCATCCATGCCGCTCCTCAGCCTGCACCTGTACTCAGCCTCTCCAGGCTCTGCTCTGCAGCTGAGACCATCCCAACTATGTAGCTTCAGTTCCACGTAGAGGAGTCCTCTTTTTCCAAAGGCTTCCCACCTTTTCCTGGCTCTGTCACTTGACTGCACTTGAGTGATAAAGAGGATTTCTTGGCTCAGGTACTAGGGAAGTCCAGAGACATGGCTTAGTTCTGGCAAAGCTCAGTCAGGGATCTTGCCTGTTTCCTGCCATTGTTTTGGCTGCACCCTTTCTCTGCTCATGGGCTTCACCCTTAAGCTGCCAACACCCAATGGCTGTAACAATTTGAGGTTCAGGGTCACAATGACAGTATTGGGGGAGAGAAATTATATCTAAAGAACTAGGTTCTGTTTTCCCAGAAGCTTCCAGATAGACATCCCCTCAAGTTTTATTGTACTGAATTGGATAGCATTCCTATTTCTGAGACAACCCCGTTGGCTAGGAAACGTCCTACACTGTTTGGCTTAGATCTGGTATCCTGAGGATGGATAACTGTTAGAATGACCTCTCCCTTGGAATTGGGATTCTGGTCAGCTCTCCTTAATATGTGTAGGCTCCCTAGTAGAGAGGTGGACGCCTAACCAACCAAATAAATAAAAAAAACAGGGTAGAGAGCTAAGGGGTCGGGGGATGACTGTGTCCGCTGTGCCAGCTAGGACTCACCCTACCCTTAAAATCCTCCTCTTCTGGTTCCTGATGGGTTATAGTAGAAACCCTTGGGTTGGGAGGCTATGGAGTTACAAGAAAAGGTTGGTTAGTCTAGAGTCAATTCAACGATGTGTGTGGTTGGACGATGTGATGTGAGACAGGGGATGTCAGGGTGCCCTGTTGCTTCCAACAAGGGTTTCTCTCTTCTTCTAGTGCAATAGGGAATGGATGAAGCCTCCACGTTGTACTCTCAGCTCTTGTCCCTAAAGCAAGCATGGGGCTCTTTTGAAGCTTTCTAAATGTTTTTTACAAAGGGGAAGTAGATAGGGATAATAAAAACAGCTTCTTTACCCATCTCCCTGATCCTCTTACTCACTTTCTCTTTTTCCCTTAGGCTCTATCAAGTAACACAGAGGCTGATGATGCATCCTTAGCTAAAAGTGAGGGCTTCCCTAGGAAACCAGGCTGTGGGCCACCCCCACACCGAGAACGATGACTGGTTCTCACTGGGCACCAACAGAAGGACTCTCTTTTTTCCTTCCAGTAGCTCTGAACGTTTTGCACTGCTGGATCCATGACCCTTGTGACTACTCTGTACCTTCTTGTCACCTCTAGATGTTCGACTGGATAAGCCACAACAAGGAGTTATTCCTCCAGAGCCATACGGAGATCGGCGTGAGCTACCAGCATGCCCTAGACCTCCAGACGCAGCACAATCACTTCGCTATGAACTCCATGGTGAGTGGGGGCGCCTGTTCTCAGCACTGCCTCTGGGGGCAGGACAGCAGGGGTTGGGGCCCTGGGGGAGGAGGAGAAGGAGGGAGGGGTAGAGATGGACATGAGACCTGAGTAAGAGGGAGGGGATCTGAACATGCAGACTCTTTAGCACTCCGTGGAGATGTGTGCAGGATGTGCGGCCAGCCAGCTGTTCCCATAGCAGATTGTGGCCCATTTATGCCTCTGGACTCTGCTTTATTTGGTGAAAGGAAGGTGCTGGGATTGTAGAAGGCATTTGCTCAGTACAGGACTGTAAGGGAAAGTCACTGGTTCCGCTCTGCTGATTTAACCATTTTTTGGTCCCTAGCATATGTGAATCACCAAGCTGAGGTAAGGGACCTCAGGCTCTTTGGAAATGTTTCATTGGAAATAGTTGAGTGGGTGACAGGCACTGAGGGGGGCACTTGACGGGATGAGCACTGGGTGTTATTCTGTATGTTGGCAAATTGACCACCAATAAAAAATAAATTTATTATTGAAAAAAAAAAGGGAAATAGTTGAGTGAATCGGTGCTGTTTAGACCCGAGAAGGGGAGGCTTAAGGGACACACAGTTGCTACCAGAGAGGAGGCTAGAATTGCTTTGTGTTGGTTTAGGAGGCAGGACCATCCAGGGGAGTGGAGGAGGAGGCAGGACACGGGATGCACGGGGAGTTAGCAAAGCCCCCTGGTCGTAGAGTGAGTGCTGAATTCACAGAGGGATATTTGCTAGCTGTGCAGCCATAGGGAATTTATTTCCCCGGTCTTCTGTTTCTTCATTCATAAAATGGAAGTAAAAGCTCCCTTCTAAATTGCTGTGAAGACCCAATGAGTCAACTGTAAAGCGGTGGGAGTTGTGCCTGGTATATGGTAGGTTCTCAGTTAATTTTGGTATAATAATGATGGTGATGACGGTGATGAAGAAGTCTAGTCCGGGTAAAACCTATGATCCCTTGTAAACCTAACACTGGGGATACTGTTTTTTCAACGTGGTTGTCCCAAGATTTGACTTCAAAATCTTGCCTGCCTTTTGAAACCAGCATATTCAAGATGCCTGTAGCCTAATGAGGCCTCAACTTACCTCACTTTGTTCTTCTGCTCGTTTTTCCTACTTGTGCTTCCTACTTACGTGTCCAAAAGAAAAGCTCCACAATCCCCCATATATCTGAACACCAAAGACACCTTCTTATTTCAGCCAGTGATGCTGAGAGGGGGGCAAGCGTTAGGTAAACATAAACACGGAAGATTACAGAAGCCAAAAAGGAAGAGAACTTCATTTTCTACCAGGTTGTTTTAAATATGCTGTGTACTAGACTTCATGTACTGGAGAAGAAACAATTCTGGCCTTAAGGTGTTCAGTGTCTAGCTGGTGACACAGCCCCATCATGATGCAGCTTGATGTGTGCAGTAACAGAGATACACTGAGTTAACTGAGAAGAACCCTAATACCTTAGTGGTCTAAAACAGTGGGGATTTATTTCATGGTCCTATCACATGCCCATCACTGGCTGGTAGGAGTTCTGTTCATCACAGGCACTTGGGACTCAGGCTGACAGCAGCCGCTGCCTCAGATGCTGCTGGCTGCACTGCACATATTGGCTCTGAAGCTTCCACCTAGAAGTGACACATGCCACTTTCACTCACACCTCATTAACCAGCATTAGGCATACGACTACATCTGACTTGCTGGGTGGAGACAAAAGGTCCTATGTGTTGGGGAGGAGAGCTTGGGGTATCTGCACCTAGCCCTGATGACTAGCACGGGGAACCGTAGCAGGGTGGAAGGTAGAGACGATCATCATGAAATGAGCACAGAAAGATAACTGTGGCCACAGAATAGAAGGCTGTGGGACCAGGCAGGGGAAACATCAACACGAATTTTGTTACCCAATTTTGCATACTACAGACTTGTATCTTCATCTGAATGTAAGGACTCATTTCCTTCCAACTAGTCTCCTATAATTATGTCTCATCCCTGGCTTACTTTAGTCACAGAGGAGCAAGGCAATTGATCACAGGTGATTAAGAATGTGAACTCAAATCTAGTCGAGTTTGATTATCTGGGTACCTTGTGGACTTCCCCTGGTGAATCTGACAAATTCTGTGTCAGAATCTTCCTGTCACCCAACTGCTTGGCCGTAGGGCAGACAAACTCATTTTAATAAGAAGCGAAGACAAACATAATTAGGGAGGTAAGTCTGCCACCAAGCCCCTCGAAACAATGAACTACAAAGCTAAATAGAGCTTTTGGCTTTGAATTATCTGCACCGCTGCTCCTCTCTGTTAATACGGATCACCGAGAGTTAACAGCACAACAAAAATCTTTCTCCTGACAAATTTACTTTTGAAGTCTCCGTTTTCAGGACAAAAACAAGGGAGGAAATTTACTGAAGGGAAGCATCTTGTGGAGCTGGGAGAGAGAGAGAGAAGAGGAGATTTAATATACAATAGTCAATTAGCATGTTGGGCGCATCTCACAGTCTCCCCCGGTTGCCTGGTTGACTGTGAAGGCAGGCTGCACGCAGAGGCCTCCTTGGACTGATTAGGCTGGCTCTCCTCTCTGGCTGGAGGGCAAGGCAAGGGAAATCCCAGGGTTGTTTGATCAAATTGCCTGGGCACCAGTGCTTTATAAACATGGCTCTGTGCCTTTGTTAACCGGTAGGTTTACAGGTTTGTTATTAAAAGCAGCTCCCACAAAGAGGGATGTCAGCATCCCAAACAGGTGAGGGGAGGGTATTACAGACTCTCTTTCTCTGGCTTGAGTGATGGATGTTGCTGCCAAGAAACAGATGAATGCAAGCAGCTACTGCTGGAGCCCAGTGACTATAGAATGATCCACTACGCAAGGGAAGTGGGAATGTGGATTGTTCTGTATATTCACTGGGGCATTTCTGTTTCTGTTCTTGGAAATTATACGCCCACCTCTATACACACCCACAAATCTGTCCATGTAAAGGTACATGTAGCATACTTTGTTTCAGGTTACAGGTAAGTTCTTTTGGAATTTATTGCTGAGATAGGCTGGTGATTCCATACCTTTGGGGGAGGTCACAGACACACTTGAAATATAATGAAACTTATGGGCCCTCTCCCAAGAGTAATGTATATATGAACACTTCTTAGACAATTTCAGGGATTCAAGAGTATCCTAAAGCCTATCAATCAACCTCCCCATTTTACGATGTTACAAACTTCATGATTTCTTCAGGCATTCATTCCACAAATAATTAAGGATCAGATGTTGTGCAGGATATTGGGCAAATGGTGGTGAACAAAAGAGAGATGGTCTGTCCCACAGAGGTTCCAGTAGAGAGACAGATGTTTAGTAAATAATCTCATAAATAAATATATAATTACAAACCATTAAGTGTTATGCTGGAAGAGTAATATGCTATGACAGAGTATAATAAAAGGAACTCAATTTAAATGGGGATGTGAGGTACATTTTTTGATTGACAGTCAACCCCAACTTAAAGCTCATTTTTTTTATTGATAGTAAATTAATTGTATGTGAATTAGCTCTATGGTGGATCAAACAACTTATAATTAAAGAAATCCTAGGTATATTGTTTTATAGATAAAAATAATCAATTTAGGGATCCCTGGGTGGCGCAGTGGTTTGGCGCCTGCCTTTGGCCCAGGGCGTGATCCTGGAGACCTGGGATCGAATCCCACGTCGGGCTCCTGGTGCGTGGAGCCTGCCTCTCCCTCTGCCTGTGTCTCTGCCTCTCTCTCTCTCTCTCTCTCTGTGACTATCATAAATAAATTTAAAAAATTTTTAAAAAAAATAATCAACTTATAATTTATCTGGTTTTTAAGTTTTGTTTTCATGTATCTAATTTTATATACTGGTTAAAGACCCAGCTCCAACTGAGGTAACCATTACCAAGAAATAATCGAGTATCATTAAATCATGAAAGAAAAACCAGAAATTTCCTAACTTCTATCAATGAATCGGTACCAATAAAGGCCACCAGTTATTAACATATCAAGAGTATGGGAGTAATACCCTACTGAGTAAGGTACATAAGCAACTCTGGGGAAAAAAAGGTTAAAATTGGTTGATACTAAAAAAAAAAAATGGTTGATACTTGCATTTTTGCCATAACATGTTTTTTTTTTTATAATTCCCAATGGAATTATAAAGTTTTTTGATCTTCAAAATAACAACAACAATCATAATATCCTACCTACTAAACCTAAAAGGGAAATATTTTCAGGCTTCTTATAGTGCCTCAGAAAGCCAGGTTTCTTGAGCTCTCTGAGGCCTTCCTCTTGCTTAATTTTGCCTGCTGTTGTAGAATCCTTTCTCACAAATTCTCTTTCCTTTGAGTGTGGCCTTCTCTCATGGGAGTGTAGAATAGATCGAAGTAGGGTTGAACTGTAATATACAATAGAACAATCACATAGCCATCCATGTTCTATTTCTTCATGAAAAAAACACAGGATTTACTCATGTAGCCTTATTTACTATTTTAATTAGCCAGTTCTTTGGGAAAAAAAATAAATTGCTAATGGCTTCTGTCTAGAGTTTTAAAATATGAAATAATGTTCATTTTCTATTATGACTGTGAGGATTCACATTAGTGATAACCATGTGCAGCTGGGTGGTAGGAATCCTTTCTGCTATAGCATGTTTGATAGCTGTTTTAATCCTATTAATTTGTTCAGCAGAGGCACATATTGCCATTTGATTGCGTGTGAATCAGACCAAATACAGCAGAGCCTGTGGTGTTCTTTATCTTTATTTTGAGGAAAATTACAAACGTAGCACCAAGGAAAAGTCAAATCTGATACAAGAGTGATAAAGATTCTGAGGCAGGTCTCCTGACCCCAATTTGAAAAGCCTTGTTCTGGGGTCATCTGTCATCTTTGATGCTTGGCATCCCCAAAGCATGGTTCGCCAACCCCAACTAGGGGGAACTTCTTATAATGAGAGTATTTCTAGATTTCAGTGTAAACACACACACATACACACACTATG